CTCTAAAAGGCCCATTCTAAGCACTTCCTGAGTTTAAGCGGCGCGAAATACATTGTATTCTCGCCAGAAATGATTGTCGTACTGGAGTACTTAAACTCCATGACAATAACACATCCGATTCACGTAACTGTTCTGTAATTTTACTTCGGCTTTTCACTGAGGACATTATTGTGGGGATGGATAGCTTGCGATATGTTCAAGGCAAACATTCAGCACTGTTGAATTATTGGGCAGATGTATCAGCGCAAGTACCACAACAGTGAAGTAGTGGAAAAGTGTGAAAACGTCACTAATTTGGAGCGCACACTCACGAATCTACACATGGGTTACCCGAGATTTTTTCTGTTCAGTGATTATAGCTTTTTGGAAAACTAGACGAGGCTTAATAAATAAAAATACTCTCATGGCTTAATTAGAAATAACTGTTGAAATAGATCGAAACTTGATTTTTATTTGAATGTTATTCAGAAATAGGTTAATTGCTTTCCTGTTCGAAACTGTAAAATAAAAAAAATCTAGATGTACAAATATGGGAAATAACTATTCTAGATATACAAATAAGTAATAAGTATTCTGGTTACAATGCATAGGTTTCAAAATAACATCACCCAACTGATATTAAGTCAGCCGATTTACACAAATGTATGAGTAAATTGTATTTGTCATAAGATTGAACAAATTTTTCTCTGTTTAACGATGTTTTTTTTTATTCGAAATCCAATAATGGTGTGTATATTAATATTATATATTGATACATGTGATACAGAGAAAATAATATTAGCGGTTTTCATCAGCCTAATTCAGCTCAGCTGAATTAATTTCTAAGTTTTTTTGTTTTTTTTCTATTAATGTTCTCGGAATAAACCGGTGTATTATATGCGAACCCTGTCAAGACTCTATGGATAATTGCGTCACTCTCAATGGTCAGGATTCAGTTTTACTCTTGAAATTAAAATGCTATTGATAATTATTTCCCAGTCAATGGTAAGGATTTGGTTTTCCCACCAAAACTCAATGGATAACTCCACTGATGATGGCAAGGATAAGTTATTACGCATGAAACTCTATCGATAATAAATTTCTGCCAATGGCAAAGGTTGAGTTTTACCACTGAAATTCTATGGATAACTATTTCACTGTCAAATATGTCAAATAAACTTCTATGTACATACATTGTTTTACAGATTTCGTCCTAATTAAGTTATAATGTTGAAGCTTTATGTCTGCTGCTAATATCTTTCTTTTCAAAATGCATTTCTGATATGTTCTTTTCAAAAATGTATTGCTGTTAATATCATTTTTCCCCCAAAATATACTGCTGTTAATATCATGTTTTTCCAAAATATGTATTTGTTGAGAGATACTCCCCTTTTTACACAAATTGACTCACCCAGTATATACATATACTTCTGATACGTGAAGAACCGACAGACGAGAGCAACAGAGGGTGAAGGTAACAGATAGACAGACAGACAGACAGGCAGAACGAACGTAGACAGCAAGAGTCACTGTGAGCGAGCACGTAGACTCAGTAAAAAGTCATACAGCGATACTTCAATACCAAAGACTGTATAGATATTTTGCTACTAACCCGTATTCCTGGAACTACTAACCTGCATTAACAGTTTGAATTATTACGCTAATACATTATTTTCCTATATTCATTCTTGGCATTTGTTATTTATTGGTACCGGATTTCATCCCGGAATCCACAACAGTATTGCTGGAATATTTTTACAAAAATGTATTGGTGGTAATAATTTCTTTTTTCAAAAATATATTGCTGGCATTTTTTAAATATATTGTTCGAATTAAAACTTATTCATAGTGCTTCGACCATAGTGTTAACTGTTTGCCCATAGCTGGGTCCCTGACAGATGCAGATGTAGTTTATTGTCATACTCAGGAAGCATTATTGTTAGGGGGAGTTTTACCCCTCTGAATAGGTGCAGTCGATGTATAATACCCACCCGACAGAGCTTCCACTAAATTTTACAAGAAATCATATATATATATATATATATATATATATATATATATATATATATATATATATATATATATATATATATAATCTGGGGGGGACCATAATCGCCAATATCCACAATTGACACAGGATTAAAAAATTAAATGCGCATCAGTGAAAATAGATTTTTGTTGTAAAAGTAATAGCGAGTACTTAAAAGTGCATCTCCCAGTGCAATCCCCAATTCACTAAAACCTTGCTTCGAGGGAAATTCATTTTCAGTTGTGCCTCCTCTCAGCAATTGTCGGCCTGGCTTTATATTCTTATGCATCCATTTTCATGTCCTGTGACTAAGCTGTCCAAAAATAGAGAAATGCAATCGCCATAGTGAAGATCAGTGCAGATGCCCACTTTTGCTTTACTGTTGGATTCTATCAAATCATGGAAAGTCCATTTTCAAGATTAAATATCATGATCTGAAGCAACTATTGCAGAGAACTGTGAGCCGTTGATGGAGTTGAATTCAAGTTTTTGAACTAAATCTTCAACTGAAAAAGCACTATATCTGGTCTCTCCTCTTCAACTGAAAAAACACTATATCTAGTCTCTCCGACAAACACAGGTCATCGTTAATGTCAGAATGTCGATGTATTTATCGTGTAATTTTTAGCTGAATTCTACCTCATGCGAAAGTTTGAAAAAATATTCTGAAATTTATTTAGTTTAAAATATCTATTTATTTAATTGTACAGTGGCGACGTAATATATTTGTTAAGGAAGAAAGAGATCTTGTAGAATTTGACACTGTCAAGATAGAAAACCCAGGAAACATAAGGAATTCGAAATAAATTACCTAACTTGGTTCTATAAATATATGACCTGGGAATAATAGTAAGGGAAAAGTCATTCTTTCAGGATTGGAGATATTTGAAAAAAAAATCGGGACACAGATATATATTATTTGTAGATTTAATTAGCATCTTAGCATCTTCCATAATTTACTTTGATTTTTCAGTCTGATGAATATTCCTGAACGTTATTTAAATTTAAAATTTTTGAAAAATAAATATTTTCACTTACAAATACTTGGTGAAAAATAAAATCCTTACATTTTTCATTGAAAAAAAACCCTCAGAAGACGAAACGCTTCGGCTAAGAAAAATTTTCCTTGGACTAAAACGAGGGAAAAACAGATACAATCGACGGAGACATATTAAGGTCGATTTGGATCGATTTTGTCTAGCTGCTTATCAATCGCTATGGGTTATTTAATGCCGAAACCTAAATATTTGGAACAATGTTATGCTTTCAACTAAATATATTTTGAACGCAATTGTAATCCTGTAATCATATATATTTTTGTTTGTTTAGCATCATATGAGCTCCTTATGGATTATATAACGAAGAAATATCATTCTCTTGGCTGCATTAGTTTTTCTATTAAAAAAAAATATTAGAGGTAATTTCATTTTGATATTTTTTTTTATAAAAAGGTATGCTGGTAATTTTCTTTAGTAGTATATTTTTGGGGAAAAATGATATTAACAGCAATACATTTCCTCGGTGAAACAGCTAATGTGTCAAATATAATAGAAAATCTGATACCGGAAAACATAAAGCTATCAATATAATGTACTGAAGTGTAATATTGTTACTGTCATTATAAGGATTAATGACAATATTAATTTAGTTGTTATAGTCGTTGTAATGGAAGAAGTATTTTCAAATTTACATAAGCGAAAGAAATATATGCGTTTTACATAAATCTTTAAACAAAGTTTATCTTTAATCCGAAAGATAATGAATGAATAAATAAATGCACAGAATACTTATCTTCTGTTCAATCAAAATGTCTGAAGGGTAACATTTCATGAATATAATCAAGAATGATAAGCTGGACAATAATTAATTTTAAGTTTAGATATTGGGAGTAAAATGAGAAAACATTAGAGTGATGGAGAGAACTTTCCTTCTACTCTTTTCTTTTCCTTAGAAAAAAGAAGGAAAGTTAGGGAGGGGTGTAAAATAAGAACCGGAGAAATAAATACAAAGAAAGAGGATAGAAATAGATGGTGAGATAAAAAGAACAGGAAAATAAATAGAAATTATGAAAGTAAAGAACAAGAAATAATGCAAGAGGTCAAAAAAGAAATGCGACTAAAACATGATAGGAAGATTGCCTAAATGAAAATGAAATGAAAAGTATATTAAAATTAGTAAAAGAAAAAAGTGCAAAAAATCAAGCGTCAATATAAGGAAAAAATGAACAAGACATAAAGACTTCTGATTTCAATAAGTTTTTAGTACTAATAATATTCTAGTTCGAGTACAAATGATTGAGTTTTGCGAAGCCAACATTGAAATTTGTGAAGCTGGACACAGATCAAAGAGCACTAAAAAAAATGGAAACATTAGCAGTATAATAAATGCCCAAAATGACGTTAGGTTAGACACAAAATAGATTTGAGGAAAATGAAATGGATATTAAGCAATGAAACTGTATTGACAACGACGAAAATAATTTTAACAAAGCTATTACTGGGAATCTAAACAGAAAACATATATCGAAAAAAAAATTAATTGAGTAAAAATATAGAAACAGACAAAATACAAGCTTTAAGGAAACCTCACAAAGAGAAACGTAAATTGACCAAAACCTTATGTTGTGGATTCCGGGATGAAATCCGGTCTCAAATGAATGACAAAAGCATTAATCAAATATAGCAAATAAATGTATTGACGTAATAATACAATTGGTAATACGGTTAGTAGATCCAGAAATGCGGTTAGTAGCAATAATAATATATATATACAGCCTGGGAAATTCAGTATCGAAGTATGACTTCCTTCTGACTCTACGTGCTCGCAACTGGGATTCCTACAAAGCTGTTACCTCTTCCTCTTCCTCTTACTCTTTGACTGTCTCACTCTCTGGGTATTCATCGGCAGCAGTACAAGTACACACTGGGCTAGTCCAGGTGTATAAAAAAGGGGTGGAACCCTTAACACCTTAGAAGCTTAGGGATGTACTATTTTGAAGCACTGATTCCCGTATGATCACCGAAGTTAAGCAAACTCGAACCTGATCAGTACCTAGATTTGTGACCGCTTGAGAATTCCAGGTGCTGTAAGTTTGAATATGCGTGTGGTGTAATGGATAATGGTTCAGAATTTTTAAACGGTTAGCTAAGTTCTAATTCAAGTTGAGTTTATTATTCACTTAGGCGCTAGTACCCTTCGAAAAGCTATGAATCCACCTCTTCCTCTCAAGCTATGGGTTAAATAGTAAGACTTGTATCACTAAACCATTATTATCTGCAAAAATATTCTGACAATGTAAAAATAATTTTTTGGTTCAAATAAACGAGTCAATCAATTGATCAGTTGTTTGCTAAATTCATTTGCGATTGTTTAGCGCCAGTTCTCTTTAACTCTACAATGTTCATTCACTTGAATGCATTTTTTATCGTTGATCCGAGAAAATGGTTTCATATAGCTGATTGATTGCATATAGCAGAAAGATCTGAACGCCTTGCCTGATATCCACATGAGAATAAAGATCAGACGAGGTTATTCAAAAAAATGTTTCGATTTCTTGCAAATTAGTGCATGATAAGATGAGTATATTAGAGTATAATATATATATATATATATATATTCACGCACGGTGAATACTAGACCTGGTTTCTTTAATATTTCCCCTTTTTTAGCGAGATTAATGCTTGACAAGCATACACATAAAAAGTTTAGAACCTAATAGAATTCTTTTCATTTTCTTTTCATCCAAAATAATCAAAATTTTTAGGAATACGTTTTGAAAGCGTCGCCCATGTGACGACAACGTGACCATGCTAAACGGAAAGCTGATCATTTTAAAATTTTCAGTTATCTGTTTTGGATAAGACTTGTTGTTTATGTCCATCGTCTTTGTCAAATTGAACTGAATTGTATTTTAATGAATATTGTCTTGAAAAGGTTTATTAAACCGAAACGTCAGACGTCGACATTTCATTCATTTTAAACAACATAATTGCATTTAAGATTTTTTTTGTTTGTTTTTCCAAATTTTCTTCATTCTGTCGGATCTATATCCATTTACATTTTTACACACACACACACACACATATATATATATATATATATATATATATATATATATATATATATATATGCATGAGGTGGATAGATAAGATAATAAAATCTATCTCTCCGTATATATATATATATATAGAGAGAGAGAGATAGATAGATAGATAGATAGATAGATAGATAGAATGTTCGCTTTTTGACCATGAGACCTGAGTTCGAATCTCACCAGGGTCGATTTGTCAGGAAGGTAACTTCTTGATATCATCGTCTTTGGAATGTACCTGAAAAAATATACCCCGGATTAATCGAATTCTTGTGAGTGAAACTGGTTAGACGCAACCCATGGGAACCATCGATGGTTGTGCTCGGACGATGTCATCGTGACCGAGGTTTTGGGCGTACTGAATTTCTTCATACCGATGTTCACGCTGGATAACGTGCCCTCTCCCAGAAATTGTAATTAAGGTCCGATCAGCATAGTTGCTGTATAAACCAAAAGTGGGCTTTGTGGCTGTTGATAAAATACAAATGTGCCTGAGCAGGAATCTACTGCAATGGGGATTAACTAGCCGCCCTAGCAGACTGGCATTTTATATATATATATATATATATATATATATATATATATATATATATATATATATATATATGTCTACACACCCAGACCGAAAAGGAGAGACATAAGTTAAAAACTTAAGGCAATGATTTTAATGGGTTGTGAGAAAAATAAAAGGAAAATCATTTGAAAATTCTTTAATACAATCGAAGAAAAAGAAATTCTGTAACAGTAAAATCTTTTGAAAATCTATTTAATTCCGACAACAGTGAAATAAACACGTCAGTTTTATGGAATGTTTTAGCAACGCTAGTTTCCTAGTTACTGAGAAAAGAAAGTATAATTAATTAAAGTTACAAAACAAAAAAACCGTACGAAGGTAGTAAATATATATTTGTATTAAGTAATTTGAAAATGAACTAAATACGGATCATTTGAGGTGTTCATGAAAGGTCATTATGGGACAGGGGAAAAACTTATCTAATACAGAAAATTTCCAGTATACAAAGGACGTCTGGTAAGCATACATATATACCTGTAAGTTTATTTAGGTATATAGAAATCTTCTAAACAATAACATTTGTGAGAATGTAAGAGTGCGGATGCGCGTGGAAGGGTATTTAAAAGTGTTTTCCTTCGCACATGAAAAGAATAATTTAGTCATATTTGAGGAAATAGAACAAATACTCTTCATTGCCTTCTTGTCTATATGCTAGAATCCGGAAATAAATAACAATTATGAAAGGCGATTCTATATAATGTTTACAGATTTATGTCTGCCTGTTGATTAATGTCAGGTCGAATGAATAGGAATACATTTTCATAATAATAACATACCCCCACCAAAAAAAAAAATAGAATAAACAGTGAACCTATTGATCAATGTTATTGAAAATTAGATTTACCTTGAATGTTATTATATTTTTATAAATCTCATAAACCATACATTATATCATAGAAAATGGATTTTCTAGCTCCTAGATCTTTCGAATTGAAACATGTCGTAAAAAAATAATTACTTGATTGGTCTTATACATTGGTATAAACAATGCTTATATTGTCAGTATACGAGGTCTTATCAAAAAGTATGGTGATATAAAAAGAAAACTACGACATATATCAATTCGGTATTTAATCTCCTTTGAAATGGTCCCCTTCTGAAGCCATACACTTTTCCAGCGCCGTTTACAATGATGGAAGTGTTCCTAGAATTCTTTGATTGTGGATAGCGAGCAGCTGGCTCGTTGCTTTCATTTAGGATTCCTCGATGTCTGTAAATCTTTTCCCTTTCCATAGATTTTATAATCTAAGATAAAAGTGGGAGATCTGGTGAATATAGTGTTTGTCGAACCTGGAAAAGTTTGTGCTTGACCAAAAACTGCTTCACATTTGATTGTCACTGATGGAAAATTTGTGGTGTGTTTAGACGACCACACTCTAAACACTTTCCTTCCAAGCGCTGTTATAACGAACGGACGTGATAACATTATAACTTAGTGTGCATACGCGAAAGAGGTCAAAGCCAATCTGTGCCAACGAGCTTCATTCTCCATTACCATAGCAACAATCCTGACACTTGATCAGACCTCGTAGTCTGTATTATATTTTACTTTAGTGAAAATCGAATGGACTCTAAGCAGGAAAAATCTGTTTCTATAGACAAGCATGAAAGATATCCCTGAAATATTGATATGCCTTTCATCAATTAGATGTTCATACTGAAAGACTAACCTGTCTTAATTTCCCGCAAAACTATTCCATACAATTTTGAACCATGTACCTTCAGAACATAAGCAAAAAATGTCTATTCGCAGCTCCATTTTATTTTAATGTCTGACATCAGAAAGAGACTATTACAAATTCTAGGACATATAATAAGAAGGTCATCTTGGAGTAAAGATTGAAGGCAAAAGGGACAGAAGAAAATAACGCATAACCTACCTAGCAAGCGTGAGTAAATGGATGGCGGCACAAGGTTTAGGACAGATAACAAAAAGACAAGATTCAATAAGAGCTATAAAGAACAGGAAAATTTATTAAAAAAAACCCTGAAAACCAATATCCTGAAAGGGTAAAACACGAAGAAGAAGAAGAACTCATGTCTTGGGAAATATACAGATTTTCTTATTTTTGCCTTATCTATAATTTAATTAAGAGAATCCAAACTCACATACAATTTAACTCTTTGCTTTTTGCGAAGATACAGTGTAATGCGTTCAACATTTATGTTATAAGAACACCGTATATGAGCGCACTTTACAATCTGTAGCTGTAAATGAAAATAACTTGTAACTTTATAATTCTCCTTGAAAATAAGGCTAGTACTGTTTCATATTTACCAACAAGTATCTGCAATATTTTCAGTTACAATGAACTGTCACACTTCCACTGAGGCCTAAATCTTTGAACGTCAGTTGTATCTCCATTTCATTCGAGGTCCCGAGTGGAATCCATATATAGAATCCATTATTTATGATGGAGGGTAAATGGCCATTTATCGCCCTAGGAATTTATAGGCTGGAATTTTAAAACTGATTGCATTAACGGCTTTCATAACCATTATGCTTCTCGCACATGATCTTCTTGTTCTATTGGCCCTGTCCCTTCAGGAAGTTGGCGATCATGGCTCCCCACAATTATCATGTTATTTGTAGCTCTTAATAATTATTTTCTTTTTGTCGTCCCTCCCAAAGCCTGCCCCGCCTTCCCTTCGTTCAAGCTTTGCAGGTCAGTTGTGTTTGCTGTTCTCTGACCCTTTAAACTTAAATCTGTCCTCTGATTATCAATTTTTCTAAACCTCTTCCCTCATTATGTGTGCCATAAATTTCAACTGTACTTTCCTGACGTTAAACATAAGTGTCATTTTTGCTTCCATTGTTTCTAGAACTTCGTCTTTGCTGAAATGTTCGCTCCATGGTATTCTCAGCGTCATTCCGTAGAACCACATTCTTGTTGCTTCGCCTCTTCTTGATATGGGAGGAAATTGTCCAGTATTGAATGCCACACATTAAGATTGGTACTGCATAATAGTTCAGTACTTTTTTCTTTGTTTCTAACGATATCTTAATACTTTACTAATCTTTTGCAAGGCATATTTCTCTATCGATCCGCGACTTCGGATTCCCGTATCGAAATATCTGTCAATATGCTTTCCAAATATCTAAATTGTTGACAAAATATCTCTAATTTATTGATATGATGAGGTCCGGTGCGTACAACCCTTAAACACCCTAACCAAGACTGGGCTCTCCGGGCAGTGATATGTGACCCTAACTGTCATATCAACATTTACTTTATTCTACCTAATTTTATATACGTTTCAAATTAAATTATACCAAACTGACTATTAAAGTTATATTGACTTACCGCCTCTTCTATCCTCCAGATATCTGCTAATTAGTACGACATTTATGTGAATTAGAACTCAGCTCTCCAATTAACAATTCCGAACCATTATCCATTTCACATCCACGTTTATAGTACTGG